CTCAAGTCAAAGTGTATTTTTACAAATGAATATCACATGTCCCCTATTATTATGTCTTTTTTTATTTATAGGGAACATGTTCCTAAAAGAAACCCTAAGGGGTCATTTGGTATGAGGTATAAGTACAAATAGTGCTGGGATAAAAATTTAATACCACCTTAATACTTTGTTTGGTTAGCAAACTTGGAATAAGTTATCCCGGGATTAAAATTAATACTGGATAACTTATACCTTGTAGGGGGTGAGGTAATTAGTGTCGAGATAACTTATACCTTCTTCTTATAAATTATGCAAATATCATTTTTAATACAACATACCAAACAGTGGATAAAAAACAATCATAACATAACTAATCCCAACATAACTAATCCCAACATAACGTATCCCAGCATAACTTATCCCAGCATAACCTATATTCAAACCAAACGACCCCTAATAGTATAAGTGCAGAGAATATCCATTAGAATATTCTCTCTAATGCCCTATCTTGAAACTAGCCGTTATGATTCTGCCAAGAGTCCTCGACCTCGGCCGTGGTCCTTGTTGACTCTTCTACCACGACCTTCGCTGATAGTTAGACTACTTTGACACGCGGCATCCCAGGAATGCTTTACTAACACCGTTTTGACTAAAGATGGATTTTGACCCATACAATAATAAAGATAGAAAAAACACATTTTTTCTAAAGCTTGTAAAAGGATTTAAGTTTATTACAAAGGGAGTTACTTGTTGACCAAATATTTGGGGTGAAAAGAGGAAAAAGTCGTGGGTTGTGGTCCTTAACGTGTCAATTGTCAAAAAAAAGAAAAAGGAATAGAAGAACTATCACTTTCCTGGGAATTTCGCTGGAAAGGGATTGCCTTAGTTTTTGTACCCCCGCAAATTATAATATTGTTGCTGGTCCCCCCTCAAGAAATACAAAATTCAGATACAAAGCCAACATTCGAAGTTAATGGATTATGAGTTTACCATCGAATTCATAGTTAGTAGTTTTAGTTATACGCAATTAAATATCATATTTAATACATTTTTAATACAAAAACGGGAGCTAAGCAAAAACGTACGAAATACTATAACTCTGCCACTTGATAGAAAACCGCGACACACCTAAAAAATTATTTTACCATTAAAATAAACATCGACAGCTAATCAGAGGAGAAGTAAAATCATTATAAAATGTGACTTTTGATTCTGTATACATGACTTATGTTCGGTAGGTTGGTACTTTGAGTACAAAATCTGAATATAATCAAAGGAAAGATCTAACTAAAGAATAAAAGATTTAAAAAATAATGGTTGTAGTAATTGATTCTTGAATAATTTATTACAGACCTGGATTGAATAATAATATGTAATGATGAACAAATTAATTTGACATTTACGTCTAAACATCAGAATCTTTGTAATAAATTATTTCTGCTTTATAGATATTTGGTCTAGCATTGATAAAAAAAACAATATTAGGGATATACTTGATTAGGACTCATAACATACTATACTGTGGGCCATGAACAAGTAGTTAGCAACGGGGTTTTGATCTGTATATTTGGTAAGTTTGATTCCCATAAATATATATTATATGAAAATACTAATAGATTTTTTTAAACAATATTCTGTTTAAACCAGATATTACTTGTAACACAATTATTGGTTCTGATTCTTTTCTTTGATTAATGATCAATCATTATTATTGTTGATTGTTATTCCTCATTAAATAATTTACTTTTTCACTAATTCCATATTGTCCCTTCCCATTCTAATTATTTCAGAAGAAACAGTAACTATTGCCCGACTTTGGAAACACTTCTAATATTACTAATATAGAGTTGGACAAAGGTAAAATTATTTTTGTGATTTATAAGTCACGTGTTCGAGCCGTAGAAATTTAGGAGCGGAGCTAGAGTGCGAGTTATGGGTTCGGCCGAACCCAATAGCTTTGGTTCAAACCCTGTATTTGTTTGCTAAAATTCATTAAATATGTACAAATTATTAATTTAGAACTCAGTAACTAAAATAATTAGAATTTCGAACCCATAAACTTCAAATTCTGGCTCCGCCTCTGCGTAGAATCAGCCCCTAATGCTTGCATCAGGGTAGGCTGCCTAAATCACACCCCTTAAGGTGTCGTCCTTCCTCAGACTCTTCATGAACGCGAAATGATTCGTGCACTGCCCTTTATAGACTTGGACAAAGGGAAAAATGGGACAAGTTTTGGTATGTAAATATAATTTCAACTGTTTTCTGGGGACACTTTTGTTGGGCAACATGAAACACATTTATATATCAGGGGGTAAAACTGAAAGCCTGCAATGTTGAATCAATGACAATTTAAAGTTTGGGGCTTTGGTACTTGTACTTTTTAAAGTTTGTTTAATTTATGTGTTCCCTTTGCTGGGCAATTAGAAGGCTCTAAGAAAAAAGACTTTGTCTGTGGTCCCTAACTTGAGAATTTAATGCTTGTGGGCTATGTGACCTGAGAAATTGAGTAAATACACGAAGTGAAAAGATATGTAGTAGGAGTACCTAATACTGAAAGGGACTGCCCTATTGATTCATTGAACCAAAGTTCACACCAAGTAGTTCATAACATCAAGGGTGTGCTAAGAATAGTATGTTTTTTTTTTTAATTAACGAGAGATGTCGAGTTCAAATACTTTTTTGAGGTAGTTTACTTTTCCTTAATCAGAGATCTCGAGTTGATCCGATTAATTGTGCTTAATCCACATTATAGTTTCCTTATGCCATTTGGTAAAACAATTTGATGCTTAAATCTTTGGCATTTAGCAACAACGTTGTTGCGGCCAAACGCACACGCAAGTATACGCGGTCGTCAAGTTATAAAGTGACTAGAAGTCGGATGTCGAACCCACGAGAACTTGTGATTAATTATTAACTAAATTAGACTATCCTAATTATCTAAACAAGAATTAAACCTAGAAGTATTTGATTCTAAACTAATTAAAATAAAGAAAAAACAAATAGTGAACTCCGAACAAAAGAAGAGAAGATTTTTATGTTATCAATGTAATGAAAGCGATCTAGGGTTATGGGCTATCTAACATTGCTATTGTATTCTTCAATTGAATTGACTAACTAATTCATCTAGTTTATTGGTTGATAAGGTTAATATTGCTCATAAGAATCTGTCGAATTCTTAGTCGCATATTCAAGCTAACCTAACGCCTATATGTCTATGCAATTAGAACTAACAAGAACGCATTTAAAATTCATGTATATCAACCAAGTAAGGCAATTAGGTGTATGTCTATCCTAACCGCGAATCCGTTCCCCGATGCCCAGGTTCAAGAACTTGCTCTACTCAATCCTATGTGCAATCTAGAATTCCCACTTTCGAGTTCAATTCTAGATTCGTAGATAGTATCAAATGGTGATCAAGCAATTAAATAATTAAGCGCAAGATTGAATAAATAAACCAATGCGATAAACTAAGAAATCAAAATCAATATTCGAATAACATTAGTCATGAAAGAACCACAACCCTAGAACGTAAAATTTAGCTCTACATAGACATGGTAGCCGAACAACAAATCATACAAAGAAACATAATAATTACAAAGTTTGGGGGAAGAAAAGATGAAACTCAACCTCCACGGCGGCTCTGTGTTTATGTTTTCCTATAAAAAACGTACTCCCTTTGTCAAAAGTTGTTCTCAAAAACATTCTCTCCCTCCAAAATAGATTTAGGACCCCTTTTATACGAGTTGGGGATGTATAGAGCCGAAATAACCGAATCCCGGACGAAATAGGACAAGTCCCACTTCGACTGTCCAGGGTGCGCTCTGGCGCAGAATGCAGTAGCGTTTTGCGAATTCAACTCTATTCTTGCGGCCAACTTCCAACTTTCCTTATAAACACTTTTTTGCTTTCTTCTTTGTTTCCTTTAATCTTCAATCATTATGTCCCCTCTCTTGTTTTAATTGTTACAATTCACATATTTACTTCACCTCATGCCACGTAGATAAGCATCCTAAGTCTTCCATTTTTCTTCATTTCATGTGCTGCTCCAAATTTGTCTCATCCATGTAGATTTTTTTCTATTCTCTTTCCGATAATAATTTCGTGCTCTTTTTCTTTTTGCATTATTTTTGCTTCGAATCTTTCTATTTTCGCACCGCTTTATTCCTACACGGTTAAAATATAATATTAAACATAAAGTGATATAATTAATACTCAAAAAATGATTAAAAGTACTAGAATGTAAGGCGACAATGGTTAAATATATGCATTTTTGGCCAAACATCAAGCGCCTTCCGTTTCTTTCCATTCATACTTAGACATTTTCTGATAATATTAAGTCTATTGACGTATCCCTAATACAATATACAGAAAATCTTAGACAATAACTCTCTTGAAAAAGCATCTAATCATACACACTAACTGAAATATCATTCGAACAAGATGCTTCCAATCAGAAAACAGAATATGAAGTTAAAAGTCTTCAACTAACACGACCAATATCCTTCCTCTCTTCTACTGCTGCAGGATATGGATTTCAGTCTTTTTGACAGAGTTAAGATTAAAGAGGTTCGCGGTTTTAAGCTTAATAGGCACAAGTAATAATCCCAAGGCTTTGTTTCTAAGATATAACAATACTTCTGTATGCCTGGGAAAACTATAAGAGAAAGATGAATGACCACAGACTTATTCTAATAGTGCCTCAGAGTTGCCCAATTGCTGTTACAATATGTTTCTGTTTCTATGAATTAATTCTCATAGGTAGCAATGGGTAATCTCAGAGCGAAATTCTCTAAACTGCTGAAAATGAAAGCTATATCTAAGTTGAGCTTGAGAACCGAGCACTTATCCATCTTAGAGCCAAAAATTAGGAAAAACCTAAGAATAGTTCCCAGACTAACCTAAAAACAGTAGGGACGCCTAGCCTTTTAACAGCCTGGATGCAAATTAAAGAGAAGCTTCCTGAAAATGTCCCGGCCAAACTTCATATCCCATAAAACTTCTTGGAGTGGGGCAAACAAAGATGACAATGTTACAATAACAAGATGTCCAAGTATTTATAACTATCACATCAAACAAAAGGAAACAAGGTATCCCTTCTTGGATCGAAATAGTTACTTCTTAGGAAAGAAAACAAAACATAAGAAGTCCTATTTTTAGAAGGAAACAAGAAACATAGTTGAGAGCATCTAGGATCCTATAGCTATACATTGGACAAGATTACAAACCCGAATTCATTCTTCAGGTTGCCTTTGCCCCAAAACTGGGATGTCTTCATATCGTTTCTGCGTAAGTAGAAGCACCATGATCAGATTCTGAGTCAAAGTTAGATTCAGTACAGCAAATATTGTTACACTATGTAAACACTAAAAGGAACTGTTCAGCCAGAAGACAATCTAATCTCTTATTTGTAAAGTCAACAATGCATACAACAATTATCCTCCAAAGTCCAAAGTCATAATGTTAAAAAACCGCCATATGCATGCTTTATATTGTACAATATATATGTGTCTGTGCATGAACTCGTAATTTTCAAATTTCTTTATCCGGGAAAGCAATGCTGATTCTACATTGAGTTATGCTTCAATCACATAACTATGTGTAAATATTCCCATCATGTCCTTTTTATCGGTCACTTTAGCCCAAATATTTAGTTCAAAATATTTGTCATTTTAGAAAACTAAGACATTAATTTCTCTTTTTCCAATTCTACCGTATTACTCCAAGAAGGTATACGATCAATTACTCATTTAAGGAAGATATAAGCATAATTTAGTCAAATACCACTTCTGATTAATGCAATCCAATGCACACTTAAACGGTAGATAAGAAGAACCGAAAGGGAGGAGTATTACTTTGCTATTTACAACAGCCAACTAATTTTAAGAATCACGCTGTGTGCCCTATCCCTATCCCTGCTATTTTTACTATTACATCTGACAGCTCGTACGTCCAACCAGAGAAAATGATTGAGGAAATAATTTCCTTTTAAAAAGTTTATTTCATGCAAAACAGAGCCTTCTGTGGTAAAAATCAGTTTTTAAAATTTTCTTGACTTCGTATTTGGAAGGATTCTCATGTATAATCTGAGTTATCCACAAACTCTTCCAACTCTCAGAGCTGCAACTATACATGTAAATCAGCATTTAAAGGAGAAAAGCAAACGCCAACATTATGAATTTCAGGAAAACTCACCCCAATATTATTCTTTTCCCAAAGCTTACGAACACCATAATCAACAGCCTGCGACGAAGAAACAAGAACATGAAGAGGGCATTAAATTTGACAACTTCTCGACTTTCCTATGCTTATTTCAATCATACAGAATATCAACCAGAGTTAAGCAAATTGAAGATGCAGATAGATCAAGATATATTGCTCAATGAAGCGGTCTCAGCAATCATATTCATAGCGGAAGCAAAAAAAACGCTATGTGATTTCTTCCCATCTACCTAAACCTTGGTTAGCAGAATTACCAGGTACCCAATGAAATAGTCTGGACGTGCACATGCTGGCCCCACACACTGTTATAAAAAGAAAGTAATTTTTAATCATCTTGCACAAGGAATCAAGCCACGATTCTTGCATCATGATAGACTGAGGTATCCTGCGTGAATGCGGGATGCTATATAAAAGCAGTTTTCTGATCTTTAACAAAATTTAACTGTACCGGTTTTTAAAGAATACTTCTTTGGTCGCACACGGCAAGATACTAACAAGTACTATATTGCATGAAATATGGATTTTCCTTCACTCAAAAATACCCCAACGTTCTTCTAATTCCATCCTTTCCTCTGTTTCTAAAAAACTTTGAGCTTCTAAATGAGGAAGTTCACACAATTCATCAAAAATCAATCCATCATAAGAACAAAAAAGCGCAAAAATGAATCGATATGCGATGTGGAAGTTGATAATAAGTTGGATTACCCGTTCGCCGAGGAAAGCGCCAACGATGACAAAGGTAACATAGACAGAATTGCGACGCATAATGAGCCTGTAAAGCCTTTCCAGAGGCCCTCTTCCCCTCTTTCGACCTTCTGTTTCCATTCTGATTTCTGTAGAATCTTCGGATTGCAGATGAGTAGAAGAGACTGGAGAGTGAAAACTAGAATATTTATTCCCCCTGTTTTTTCTAAATGTGACGAATAAGTTCTTTAAATTATTTAAAATAATAAACACACCCCTCTTTAATAACGTTTTTTGCAAAATAGCCCACTTTTAGTAATATCATTAGAAAAATGATGGTAAAAACTTTGTTATATTTTTTTATTGCATCTTAATCTATAAAAAAATATGGTATCAATTTTAATTTTGGTGCTTATAAAACACTACCGTGGAGTAATGTTGTTCGAAAGCATAAGATGTTTGTGATACTGATTAATTAAAGTTGTGCATGGTGGGAGTTTCAAACTCTGGAGATCATAAATTTTGAAATATGTCACTATGAAATCCATACAGTTGAGTTGAGGAGAGAAATAAATATGTAGTGTTATATATTGAATTTAACTTTTATATACCGATAATGTTTAGTAATAATTTTTACCATATATTCATTTAAAAGATAATTATAGGTTATTGTCGAAAAAAAAAATAAAAAATAGCCGGATTTACAACTGGTAATTGAAAAAGTCACAGTCTCAAAAGTAATCGAAATTTAGCCATTTTTTAATGTAAAGATAAAATCTGAACAAAAACACTCTTAAAATTCGAAAAAATTCTAGGAGTTCAAATTTCTTGCATATGAGGTTATAACATAATGTGTTGGAATTTCATAATGTGCTAGAGTTCCAACATAATATGCTGAAAGTTTATACGCAGAAGCTTCATAATCCAGCATATTATGCTGGAACTTTCCGTGTTCTGGAGTTCCAACATAATATGCTGGAAATTTATACGTAGGAGCTCCATAATCCAGCATAAGCATGGAACTTTCCGTGTTTTAGCAAAATAGTGACTATTTTTTAGTGACTTTGCAAACGCTGGCTATTTTTCAATTACCAGTCCGAAAACTAGCTAACCCGTGCTATTTTTACGTTATTGTCTATACAATGTGGGATTAGTAATCTGAAAAATAAAACCTGTTACAATATATTAAAATACTTCCAATTTCTAAATTTTCTTGAGAAAAATACCCTCCATAGCCCCTCAAAATTTTAATAGCCCATGTTTTTTTCTACTTACACGAAATGGCCCTTCGGCCCAAACATATTGCATCTAATAGCCTGAAATGTCTATTTTGTATAGTGACAGTCTATTTTGTATAGTGACAGTCTATTTTGTATAATGACAGTCTATTGTATATAAATTGTATAGTGGCAGTCTATTTAGTATATTTTTGTACAGTGACAGTCTATTTTGTATATATTTTGTATAGTGCCGGTCTATTGTATATAAATTATATAGTGACAGTCTATTTTGTATATTTTTTGTATAGTGACAGTCTATTTTGTATATTTTTTGTATAGTGACAGTCTATTTTGTATATTTTTTGTATAGTGACAGTCTATTTTGTATAATTTTTGTATAGTGACAGTCTATTTTGTATAATGACAGCCTATTTAGTATATATTTTGTATAGTGACAGTCTATTTTGTATATTTTTTGTATAGTGACAGTCTATTTTGTATATTTTTTGTATAGTGACAGTCTATTTTGTATATTTTTTGTATAGTGACAGTCTATTTTGTATAATTTTTGTATAGTGACAGTCTATTTTGTATAATGACAGCCTATTTAGTATATATTTTGTATAGTGATAGTCTATTTTGTATATTTTTTGTATAGTGACAGTCTATTTAGTATATATTTTGTATAGTGACAGTCTATTTTGTATATATTTTGTTTAGTGACAGTCTATTGTATATAAATTGTATAGTGACAGTCTATTTAGTATATTTTTGTATAGTGACAATCTATTTTGTATATATTTTGTATAGTGATAGTCTATTTTAGTATATTATTTTATATAATAACAGTCTATTTTTGTATATATTTGTTATAGTGACATGTAGGCACATCAGAAGAAAAAAGGCCGTGTAATCAAAACCTTCCACCCAATCCCTTGTTGTCTTTCCATTCACCATTAATTTCTCTCATTTTCAAAGTTTAGAACATATTCGGATAATTTTCCATAGTCTCATCCGATTGACCGGAGTCGACTGTGGTCGGAACATATACTGCAATTTGTTTTTTTCTATTCTCTACTCCATAGCCTCTCTCCTCCACAAAACAACCCTTCTCATCAGTCCCAAAAATAGTAAAAAACTTTGCCGGAGTTTGGTCGGAGAATATCCATCCGATGACGCGTCTCTATCTTCTTACTCATGTTTATGCTGATGTCTCAGCCTCATATGATATTTTCAATGAAGAAGCAGAAGAAAATAGAAGCAGCAACAGCAAATTGGTGACATAAAATTTGGACCATTACGAAGAATACTATCAAGAAAAATTCAAGGCAACAAATGCAGATACATTTTTTCTTAATTCTCCACCTTGGTATACTTCTTTAGATCCACATGCAAGGCTAAAGAGAATAAGAATTTTATATTATCCAGCTTATAATGTTGACTCTTTAAGACCATTTGCTTACCATGCACAGAGGAAAGAAATTTCAAATAGATATGACATTGAAACACTTCCATCAAGCTTTAATAGGACCTTACTGGTTTAAGCTCAGCAAGGCATATTCACAAACATAGAGAGACATGGAATATCTTTATCGTCCTCTACATTACATATATAAAACCCCAGTGCAAGAAACCCTTCTTTTTCAGCGTTGAACGAAACTCAGGGCTTTACCAACTTTCATCAATCATTTCCTTTACTTTCAGACCAATAAAATTCCAAGGGACCTATATCTCTGATAAACACATTACATTCCTTCTATGCCAATAAACTTGACCTTCTTTCCCTTTTCAAACCATCAGAAAAAAATTAACTACTTCCATTTAACAATTCAAATAATCATAAGTTAGTTAGTACTGCCTAATACTATTTCATAATTAACTGGGTATTGTACCAACTTATTATTTCTTTCATACCATGATCTTAAACAGTTTTTTTCTTTTAAACTGGTTGGTTTTAAACCTTCTATGCTTTTTCCTACAATTAATTACTCAATAGGCCAAGAATTAACACCAGAGCAAGGGGAAAAATTGAAGAAGCTAAAATCAAAAATGAAAAGAGGTGGATTGCTTGTTGACAAGGAAGCTTCGGAGTTTGGAAACTATAATTGATGGGTTGAAACAGTAGATGATGGCGGTGATTGAAGCGGCGGAGTCGGCAGTGAGGTCTGTCTTTCCAGCCATGGCGTGGTCGCCTCTCTTTCTGCATCTATCTTTGCAAATCTGAGCCTCTTAGTTGAGTACTTTTGGGCAAGGCACTAGAATTACTTTTGGGCTATAAAATGTATATTATAATTTTTGGGCTACCGGGTGATATATTTTGGGCCGATGGGCTATAAATGAATTTTGCTCAATTTTCTTAGTATGACCGTTCATTTATTTTAGAAGGAATAAGTACTAATTTAGAGCAAAGGTGGATAAGATAGCAAGAACATTTCATGGTGTAGCAATATATCTTACTTTTGGCCCAAAGTCTTGACCCAAATAGCAAAACTAAGGCTTTAAGAACCTCTTAAATTATGTCCTGCACTAGAAACAGTGTTCCTTGTACAACTCATCTTTTCACAAATATTGGTTTCTAATATTTCAACATTGCCATTCTCCCTAGCAGTGGAATAGTCAATCTGCCTTCACTCAAAAAGAAAATGGCTTAGATTAGGCATTCCGTTTAGATATCTTCATTGTTGTCATGAAGAAAATAGTCCAACTTCACACTAAATATAATATCTGCACATACCATTAGTGGCAAAGAATAGAGATAGGACGTATTGGACATACTCTACTGACCACAAAACTGATCCTAAATCACACACGCACGCAATCAAAGATGTAACAGTACAGTTCATGTATGACAACGTTGCCGACTGATCCTGCTTGCATATCTTGACGTAAAAAGCTCCAGCTTATTCCAATGAATGCCAAAGAAGTGATATATATGGGCATGACTAGTGAAAATAGACAGTATCCATGTACTAAGAAAGGGCAACGGATATAACTTTCCCTGAGACAGTTACTATTTGGAGCATACTCAAGATCCTGTACATAGAAAACATTATCACCTTAAAAGATAGAGAGGGAACAAAGGACAGTTATATGAACGGTGAAAGATTAATATATATACAAGAAAAACTGACTTAAACTCTTGGATAGCGAGAGCCCCCTTTCTTCCGGAGGAACTCAGGGATCTCTACTGAACCACCTTCAAGGAAGGATGAAGGTCGTCGGTTAATCCCAGGTGTAGCATCTCCCTGTGCTAGCTGGTTTCCCTGTAACATCATAATGAACAAATTATACAAGATGCCCAATCAATACACAGGATTTTCATGAGCAGACACATGCAAAGAGAAGGTGAAAGAGAGGAATACCTGGACGGGCCTCCCATCACTTTCTTCTTGGCGCTTAAAACCGGTGGCAATTAGGGTTATACTGACCTGCATCATGAGAATAAGGATGCGAGTGACCATGATTCAAGATGAATATCGGTCACGGGTTCAGGGAAAGAGAGCTTGAAACTAGCAAGTAGAAAGATTATGAGTAATGACAACTGAACAGTGATACCACCCTCATGGGTGCTGTAACATTACTAGAACCTATTTATGTTTGCCTTAGAATGAGTATTTGGTGTGAAAAAATAAAGACCAATTTGAAAGATGAGAGTAGGTTCGAGGAGGATCAAAAGACTGATTCTCGATCCCCTAAAGTTTGTTTTTGTTCCCCAATTTTAAACACTTGATTTACCAATTAGAAAGAAAGCCTTTCTTATACTTCGTCGATGTTTGACTTCTAACCAGATAAGCTGCTTCTTGGAAGTACTAACTTTGCATGACAAATTCTTTCAAGTTGTTCTACTGTCTGACCAATTTCTTTTACATAAATTCCTTTTTTCTTTGAAAACTGCAAGTAATATGTCTTTTCATAATATCAAAGAATAATCTCAAAAGTAAATTCAGAATCAGACT